ATAAATAAATGAAATCTAGAAAGAAATTTACCATGCTAAGGGTGAACATGTTTCATTATGATTGACCATGTTTTTGCATGTATTTATTGATTTTGTATTCCAGGAGTGCCAGTTTGGCCCATGTGAACGCTATGCTCAGAGAGCAGCTAGACCAGGCCACCGCTGCTAATCAGTCCTTGACCTCTGACATCCACAAGCTGACCCAGGATTGGCAGGCTGCCAGGGAGGAGCTGGACATCAAAGAGAGGGAATGGTGTGAAGAGGAACAGGTTAGCGTTAACACGTCAACGAGGTTGTGAAATATTTGTGCTTTGAGAACCCCCCCCCCCCACTCTCTACATATGTGTATAATTATTTGTAAACATTATTTGTACATGATTTCTCTTACAGCAATTATATTTGAACTGTAAACATTACCAAGTGTACTATAAAACGATGTTTGGTACTTCCTATTACTTCATGTTTGGTAAATCCTACACTTTCATGTTTGGTAAATGACCAAGTTTACCACGGAGGAAATATGGACTGATACGTAAAATTATAGACTCTTATGATTGAAACAGTATTTATTATGAATGTTTATTTCATTTAACTTACAGTTCAGGTTGTAAAATGATCGTAAATACCGTTTTTCATGTGTGTCGATCACGTTGTTTTCTTTTTGGTCATGGCGATTCGGAAGATTCTAATTTACAAGGGGGGTTTAGGTTATTGTACTTCGTCCTCGAACGTCATTATTTTATAATTGTTAACTTATACGCAACTTGTATTGTACATTTTTATGCAACTTACCTTCATTGTTTATTACTTTGTATTTGTTTTACGATTCGGCGTCACATCGTTCGTATTTTTCATGGTTTGTCCCACTTCGGCGATGTTGTTAGTATCGTCTGCCATTTTGGTCTATACTTTCCTTTTTGGTTAGGTAAAGCGCACTGCGCATGTCCGGTAGTTTACCCTATATAAGCGTCGCCACGGACGCTGAGGTTTCAGTTTGACTCTGCAGAACGTCTGCGCAACAACTTTCATAGAAATTGTACGTAAATACTCATATAACTAACGGTTGGGGAGTTTTTACTATAGATTATATTGACCAAATAGATTTATTAAGGAATTTAACAGTCTCTACGAAGTTTTTAATTACCATTGTTTACATTTGACCAAATTGATTCATTACGGAAGATCAACAGTCATCATTTTACCAAATCATAATAACGTTACCAAATCATAATAGCATGATCAAATCATAATATGTGACGTCCAATCTGACCAAATGTATTACATCACCATTGTTTATTTGGTTATCCAGTCATCTGTATTACAGTTATTCCTTCATTAAATCATTGCTGAAACTTTAATTATCTTATGTTGTGCTCTTGTTTGCCTCTGCAATGCAATATTTTACTGACCAACACAGGGATTTATCTTACCAAATCAACCAGGATTACTAATTAACAAATTACCAGGAAATACCATATATATATTGGTTACAATGAAATATATCTCCTTAATTGGAGGTTTGATCAATTATAAAAAGCCTCATACCTCGGGCACGTTACAGAAATTTGGTGGCAGCGGTGGGATGAAAATCCTTGATCATTTCATTACCAGAGAATCCTTTGATTACACTATTTTGATGTCATATGTTTTTTTGACATGGAAACAACAGAAGATGATGACCAAATGATGTTACTTAATAAATTCTGTGTTGGTTAGTCAGGGGCAGGTGAGGGCACAGCAGTCTTAGCGGACGTTCTTCAGACTCAACTCCCAGATGGCCAAAGTAATGAAACAAGTCTGGTTAAAAAAAAAATTTGATGCCACTCCTAATGGAGAAGTACCATTTATTGATTTAATGTAAAATATAACACATTTGAGAGAAATGAGCAATCTGAATCTACACAGTGTTCCAGAACATTGATGTCTGGAGTCTGTACAAATTATAGTAATTCTTTGTAGGAATGCCTGAAGAGCATTCATTTTGAGGTCAGATCAGCGAGCTGAGTACTACGTTGGTGGAAAGGGTGAACATTTTGGAAAACATAATTGGTACTAAAGGGCCACGGAGATGCGATTCCGTATGGAATTCACTTGTATCGTTTTCTGACGACCAGGGCCCACCGTCAGTTAACAATAGGATACTCTCGGGTGGTCTGGGTACTACTAATAGACGTGCCCGTTCATACGAACTTGGGACTACTGATAATTTAGTTGAGGTTGCTTCCTTTGGTCCTGACATTTCATTATGTCAGATGAAATCATGTTTTTCTCATAGGCCTAAGTTCAATACTGTCATAAATGGTCAGGTATGTTCGGAGAAGAATAATTATTCTAGGATCCCATCAGGTGAGACGGCAGGTAAGTCCGCTCAAGAGTCCTGCATGGATAAGCCGCCTATGGAAGGCGTATGTTCACATTCGGCCATGGACGCATGGTCATGGTCCACCCAACCTGCAGCCCAGGGAATGGCTCAGTCTCCATCTCACAGCCCTCAGGGTCGAGCGCGTACTGCTGAGTGTGTTGGTGAGATGATTGCTAAGGATCTGATGAAATCTGCAACATTTGAAGAGAAGAGCAGTTGGAGAGATTATTTATACCTTCAATTTCAATTTAGAATTGTATTATATTATAACTTAATGATGGGAACAACAAAGTTAAAGCGATTCAGCTTGCAACAAGTTTATGGGGGCACCACAAGTGCTCATGGTCATTGTTACTGAATATATATATATATACAAAAGATTTATAACTATATAGTTCAAACTCTATCATAGAGGTTCAAATACAAAACTTTGTACAGAGCACAAATAAAGAATTGATTGAGAAAAAGAGATGTCAATATCTCACTGACCTCTATAATGAATTAAAAAGTTGGTTAGATTTGCTTATCCAGATGCATCCTCTGAAGTCCGAGAACAGTTGGCTCGTGACTGTTTTATTGATTCACTGAATAAATATGAAATTGAATGGACTGTCCAAGGTAAATCAAGATTTGTTGAAGATGCTGTCCAACTCGCTCTTGAATTTGAAGCCTTCCAAAATAGTAGGAAGCACATAATATTTCAGAAACATGGAAGGGTAGGAATGCAAGTGGTGCATGTTGCTACCCCACTTTCAAGGGATGACAAGCTGCGTCATTCTTCTCTCAAAAAGCTGAAAATATACAAAATGACAAATCAAAAATCAAGTTCAATATTTAAATTTGAGACAATGGTGAAAAACTGATGTGGCATCAAATATCATTTTATCAAAGATTGAAAAAAGCAACAGACTGAAAAAAAAATCATTACGGAGGTCATCTGGTATTTAAAAAAAAAGAAAAAGAAAAATGGAAAAAGAAAAAAAAAAAAGTTTTTTGGTCATCTGACTGCAGATATGCAATTTCAGTATAAAAATTGCCTTGTTACCTCCCTTATTTAAGGATACCCATTTCTGGATGAGAATAATTTCATTTTGAAAATACATATGCCAGTGCAATTGGCATATTGAAGCATTTTTGTTACAAACATGTGGAAAGTTAAAGAGATAATGTCATTGCTTATTTAAGCAAGTCACTATGTGTAGTGAAATAAACTACATGTACTGTGTTATCAAAAGAGCATTACTTGGAATAAATGAGTCAGTCAAAAATTTTGACCATTTACCTAAATGGCAAAAAGTTTCTCATTCGCACTGACTATGATGCACTGAGATTGGTCCTTAAATACAAAAACCCAGATTGGGAAGGTCAAGAGGCTACAAATTTTATCAACACATGATTTCTATATTCATCATAGAGTAGATTCCCAGCATGGAAATGCTGATGGGTTGTAAAGTCGTGCATATGCTGAGTGCACACATTGTGTTAAAAAGAAAATAAACTATGGTCATGAAGAAAAACTTCAAAGCATCGCAGTCAGGATGATCAGATTTACACCTACAACTGGTCAGAATTTTCAAGAATCTGATATTTTTGTTTTGTAGATAATCAAGATTTACTTTAATTGTTATAATATTTGATTTGGAAGTTCAGCAAAAGAAGTACAGATTGAGTGTAAGAATTATATACTTGGAAGAGGAAAAATATTCCAAGACCAGGGTGGGAGGATATTTCTCAAGAAAGTTTACAAATCAAGTCTTACTGGTCCCAGTGGGACATACTTGTTATTCAAGACAATATTTTGTACAGAAAATGGTTTAATGCTAAAACCAATATGTCACATAACAAATGATTTTACCTGAAAAATATATACCTCAGGTCCTAACGATGTTGCATAGTGACCCTACAGATGGACACTTAGGAGTGAACAGAACTTTAACCTAAGTCAGACAGAGGTTTTACTGGGTTGGAAACAAAACAATTTTGTCTAGAATGTCAACCCTGTCCATCAAGCAATCCACCAACCCATATTCCGAAGGCTCCAATGAAAAAATATATTGTTGGTGCTCCGCTGAAAAGGGTTGCTCTGGATATTGTAGGTCCATTGAACAGAACTCCTAGAGGAAAGTCATATATATTAGTCATTGTCAACTATTTTAATAGATGGACTGAGGCTTTTGCAATTCCAAATATTGAAGCAAAAGCAGTTAGCAAGAGTATTTCTCGGTGAGTTTATTTATAGATTTGGTATTCATCGTCAAGTACATACTGACCAAGGCACACAATTTTAAATTGTTTCAAGAGATGTGAAATTCTCATAATTGATAAAACAATAGCAGCATCCCTTCACCCTGAGAGTGACTGGTCTATCGAACATCTGAACAGGACACTCACAGCTATACTTACAATATATATGTCAATTATTTGGAAAGACTGGGATATAATACTTACCATTTGTATAACTACTGGCATACAGATCTTCAATTTAAGAGAGCATAGACACCAGTTCAAGTTTAATGATGCTGAGCAGGGAACCAGAACTGCCTGTGGATTGTTCATTTGGTTGTCCACCTACAACAGATTTAAAATTTCATTATTCAACATTTACAATAATTGAAAATGCTTAAAGCTAATTACAGACAGATACGTCGATTCATTATGATCATAATGCAAAACAAGTTTCCTTCAAGACAGAGCCATTGGCTTTGTAATAAAAAGCAAAAGATTGGCATCTACCCAAAATTTACTAAAACATTGGAGTGACATCATACCATCAGCTTAAAAAAAAATCAACTTAGTGACCTAGAGTACAGGATACAGTACAACATGATAGCGATTAAGCAGTACACCTCAATCTTCTCAAAGAGTTTTATGGAAAACTGTAAAATTTTCTACGAACATTCAGAATTATCATGAATTAACAATAGTCAACTGACTGATTGGACATCACATATGATTATATTACTTTTACCAGACCTGTTTACCTTTCTGTGAGTGCACTTAAGAATATACCGCACTAATCCATGGTTGTTTGAAAAAGTTTGATACAAGTCCACATGCAGTTTGATCAGCCCAGGAAGGATAAATGCAAACCAAGACTCCTGCCTGCATGCCATAATGTTCTAGCTGTCAAGTGACACTTTACCCTACATCTTGGGTAACCACCTACAATTAGAGATCACATAATTATGAACAGTATTAAAACAGATCATCAACTCCTTGTTACAGGCATTCCAGATATATTAACCTGATTAATAGACTAATTTGATTTGATCGCCAGAGATGTCAATCAGACGCGGCAACCGCCAATTTATACTCTAACTTGTGGAAGTTAAGGGAAACAGGAATTCTGTGTGATGCGAAACTTTTTTCTTTCATGATGATGATGCTGATTTATGGACTGTGAGACTATATGGAATAGGTATAAAGACTTTAATATTAATAAGGGTATTAGTTAGAATTATAAGCAACTTTGAGTATGCTTTGGGAAGGGGATGGATTTTTGAAAATATTTATTTTATTGATAGAAATGATGACCATTTTTGTAATGGATCATGTTTTAGTTCCAATATTTTATGATATATGTATACAAATATAACTGTGTGATAATTCATACAATTACCTTTGACTGTATCTTAAATTCATCTGAGTGGGTCATCACTGCAAACATTACTGATTCTGTGTCTTCTGTGTAAAAAGAAAAATTGTATTATTTCATGTTATAAATCTATATTCAATAATTGATATTTCATTATATTAATTGTTTATTATACCATAGCATACAAATATTACTTGTTTTAACATTTTTGTTCGAGGACGAACAATTTTTCAAAGGAGGGGATAATGTGAAATATTTGTGCTTTGAGACCCCCCCCCCACTCTCTACATATGTGTATAATTATTTGTAAACATTATTTGTACATGATTTCTCTTACAGCAATTATATTTGAACTGTAAACATTACCAAGTGTACTATAAAACGATGTTTGGTACTTCCTATTATTTCATGTTTGGTAAATCCTACACTTTCATGTTTGGTAAATGACCAAGTTTACCACGGAGGAAATATGGACTGATACGTAAAATTATAGACTCTTATGATTGAAACAGTATTTATTATGAATGTTTATTTCATTAAACTTACAGTTCAGGTTGTAAAATGATCGTAAATACCGTTTTTCATGTGTGTCTGTCGATCACGTTGTTTTCTTTTTGGTCATGGCGATTCGGAAGATTCTAATTTACAACACAGGTGCTTGAGGACAGGACACCCCCCCCCCTTCGATATACACCCCTGGGCTTTTTCGATTTTTTTCTCATAAAAAAATCTTTCATTGCCATATTTGTGATAAGATCTATACCAGCAAATCGAAAAATTACCTAAAACAAACGTTCTATTAAATCTACCCTACATTCTCTATATAAAATTTATGTAATAGTAAGATCATACGAAGAGAAATTTTCGTCATTAAGAATTGGCGGAGCGAAGCCCATTCTTCGTGACGAAGATTTCTCTTCATATGATCTTACTGACTTAGAACAGAACCTCAGCCAATCAAATGCATGGATTAAAAATAAACTCCTCCCACGTCTGTGTCATATATAAGGCTCAACTTTACCACTCGTTGTACATATCGAGCACGCAATCAATATCGAACACACGCGGTTTCAGAATGGACTCCCAACCCATTCAGGTTAGCACGGGATTATATGAAATACCTCAAATTGATTTACTGGGGAAATGGTATGGTGAAGATTTTAAATTTACTGAACTAATGAATACCATAGGCGTCGGAAGCAAATTGAAAGTAGAGAGGGGGGGACTAAACCAACAAAAAAACCAAAACCCTAATTTTCAATGCCTATATTTTATGTATATATTTGCAATAAAAGTAGGGGGCTAAGCCCCACCCCACCCCACCCCCGGTTCTGACGCTTATGAATACCCATGTAACAAGAATCGTAATATCTACATTTTTGAAAAACGATTGTGTTAAGATGACAAGGCCATAGTCAGCAGGAGTGTGTATGGCTGTCTAATATCAAATAAAATTTGATGAAAATTGTGATTAAATCTGTTTTCAAAGACAAGGTTCGTCTCTGATATACATGGCCATGGTTGTATTTTCTGTATGTACCGAAATGTGAAAAAAATGATATTCAAAAAGGCGACAAAAGATTACAGTGGGAAAAAAATGTAGCAAGGCCTAGAAAGTTTAGATATCACGATTGTAAACAGCACGTGGGTTTTGAATAGTTTCTTTTTGTGTGCTGAACAAAGACCAATGAAGACACACCCATATAACTGTCAAGTGAACCAATCAGACACCGTTGAATTTTTCAGAAATAGAAGAATTCTTCACCATGAAGAATCAATTCTTCGAGAGAAATGGAAGCATTTGATTGGCTGAATAAGTAGGTTATGTTCTAAATATAGAGAGGGTAGATATTTTTATAAAATGTAAGTTTAAGCAAATTTACTGAATTGATAGGATAGATTATATCACAAATGTGTCATCCATATATAATTTATGTGAAAAAAGTCTAACAGGCCCGGGGGTCTATACTGGGGGGGGGGGTCCTGTCCTCAAGCACCTGTGATTTACAAGGGGGGTTTAGGTTATTGTACTTCGTCCTCGAACGTCATTATTTTATAATTGTTAACTTATACGCAACTTGTATTGTACATTTTTATGCAACTTACCTTCATTGTTTATTACTTTGTATTTGTTTTACGATTCGGCGTCACATCGTTCGTATTTTTCATGGTTTGTCCCACTTCGGCGATGTTGTTAGTATCGTCTGCCATTTTGGTCTATACTTTCCTTTTTGGTTAGGTAAAGCGCACTGCGCATGTCCGGTAGTTTACCCTATATAAGCGTCGCCACGGACGCTGAGGTTTCAGTTTGACTCTGCAGAACGTCTGCGCAACAACTTTCATAGAAATTGTACGTAAATACTCATATAACTAACGGTTGGGGAGTTTTTACTATAGATTATATTGACCAAATAGATTTATTAAGGAATTTAACAGTCTCTACGAAGTTTTACCATTGTTTACATTTGACCAAATTGATTCATTACGGAAGATCAACAGTCATCATTTTACCAAATCATAATAACGTTACCAAATCATAATAGCATGACCAAATCATAATATGTGACGTCCAATCTGACCAAATGTATTACATCACCATTGTTTATTTGGTTATCCAGTCATCTGTATTACAGTTATTCCTTCATTAAATTATTGCTGAAACTTTAATTATCTTATGTTGTGCTCTTGTTTGCCTCTGCAATGCAATATTTTACTGACCAACACAGGGATTTATCTTACCAAATCAACCAGGATTACTAATTAACAAATTACCAGGAAATACCATATATATTGGTTACAATAAAATATATCTCCTTAATTGGAGGTTTGATCAATTATAAAAAGCCTCATACCTCGGGCACGTTACACAGGTCATTAATGGATCTCTTGTATTTCTTAAATAAAGACTTTGTAGATAAAAAAAAATATGCTTTTTTTTATCTGAAATGTATATGCTATGGGTTTTTTTCAGTCCTACAATGAATACTTCAGTGCAGAGCATGGTCGACTTCTGGCTCTGTGGCGACAAGTCGTGGCCTTCCGTCGAGCTTTTGGAGATCTCAAGACGGCAACGGAGCGCGATTTGTCCCACGTGAGGAATGACGTGACCCGTGCTTCCAGAAGTATGCACTCCGCCTGTCTGAATCTGGCTGCCAACCAGAGAAACACAGAAACTCAGTCCCAGGTAAAGATCAATTATCTAACTTTTCTATCTTATTTTTATTAGTGACCACTTATAGGTAAAAGATTGATTAAAGTAGATCAATTTATTTACAAATTGCTTAAAACTTACTTTCATGCAAGTTATAAAAGTTGATTGTTTCATATTATAGTGAGTTGTAGGGACATAAAAAGTTTCTTCATGATTGTGTTATCTTGACAATATAAAGATAATTAAAATCTTTTTACAAGGTATCAGCGATGAGACAGAGCAGCCCTAGAGAACCAGCTATATTGGGTCTAATTAGCGCTTCGTCACATAAAACGTCGTATAAAACAGTGATGTAGCATCGTTTTTGAAATGGGGGAGGGGGGGGCAGCAAGTGAAAAAATATTTTTAATTACCTGAAAAAAAGTTGACATGCAAAAGAAAAAAAGGAAAGAACAAGATTCACTTTCGCCTTATTTGGCCCTGTGAATTTCTGAAAAACTAAACTGCATAGTTTTAGTTGACAATGCATCGAAATATCACTTAATTAGATCTTTGGTGACTGCGTATCTATCAAAAATGACGTTATATTCTGGCTAGTCAATGCATTATGACGTCACGAAATGCGGCAATTTTGTCATATTCACAAAAATCGGCCAATTTTTAAAGCCATTTAATATAGAGCACAACCTCTGATCTAAAATATGCAACTAGGAAATGATAGAACTGTTTCTGAGGATTCAAAGACATGCTTTATTTTTTAGATTAGAAAGTGCGCTCATATAAATTATTATTTTTCTTCACTGAAAGCACTCAATTATACCTGTTTACCTAAAAATTTAAGAACATTGCAATTTCATAAAGCCAGTTCTCCAAGACCTGGACTTTTAGGAGAAAATTTTGAATAGGACATGAAAGCATTAAGTCTCTATTTTATTTTAATGCTTCAAATGGAAAATCAAGTGTTGATTAATCAATTGGAACATCTACATTGCCATTTTATGCATAAAGTGAACCGACCTCTTTCCAAAACACGAAAATCCTATTTCGTTGGGGGGGGGGGGGGACTTTTTTTCATATTGAGAAATGGTGTGCAATTTATTCATATAAAATACATGGCTACTGTCTTGAAATATAAACGCGAGGGTAAGAAAACGTGATAGAGGGCGAGGCTTGCCGAGCCCTCTTACGTTTTCGACCCGAGCCCAAATATCGCTTATATTTCAAGACAGTTATCATGTATTTTGTTTATCCTGCAACAAAATTTTACATTTGAACGTCCAAAACAAGCTATTTCCGACAGATTTAGGCACATCTCTGCAGTTGAAACTATGACGCCATGGCGTAAACATTGCAGTATACGTGACGTCACAATGCTTTTAGAACGTCGGAATACATGCACGAGGCTTTATTAGGGCAGTGACCGGATAAAGCTTTGGTTTATTAGGTTACCTTTATTAGGTCAATGCAAGGGATAGTTGCAGGATAAATGAGGTTATATGTCTCTGTTTAATATCAACATTATTGTTATTTCCGGTAAAAGATATAAAGAAAAACCAAAAATTCGCCGGACAAACTTTATCCCAAATAGTTAATTTATAAAAATTTGCAATTTTTGTAAGTTTTTTAATATATGGAATCTACCAACATTATAGCTCCAATATGGCGAATATATAAATGAGCAGAATAAACACCATTTCTCCACATGTTCAACAAAAACATCTTTCAATATTAATTTTTCTACATATAATTACTACGAGGGCCGTTCAAAAATTACGCGGACTTGTTGCACAGAAAAAATATTTGACGACATAATCGGGCAAAATGTCACACAGAATATAAAAGAATCCTTACTTATATGGTCTTCAAAATTTCATATCAAAATGTTGTAAATTGGTATCAATTTTGATTGATTTTTCAGGACATATCATTAAGTCATGGAGCAGCAAAATCTTGGACGTCACAGGCCTTATAAAAATATGTTATTGAGCTTTCATTTTCTCAACATTTTCCCAAGAGTACCTGTACAGTTTGAGTTACCTTATCTACTCAACATCCAAACAGCATTTCTTGTCAAGCTTAAAATCTATTAAACAAGTAAAGAATATTTTTTTAACCCAAAACTGCAGGTATTTATGAGATATAGTGTGATATTGGTGACTCTCAATCACGTTCTTTACAGTCCGGATAAAGTTTCCGTCGATAATCTTCTTCCCGTCCTCCCGTATAGCCTTTTTTCAGAGGTCCAACGGTCTAAAACTTCAATTTGCTTTTTGTGGACGAATGTCACGAATACCCTAGTTATGTTCCCCAAACGGAGTTTGGGAACATATTGTTTTTACTCGGTTTCTTATTATTATTATTATTATTATTATTATTATTATTCTTTTTTTTCTTCTTTGTTCTCCGGTACTTTTTTGTCCGCGAGTGTTCTCAGAAACTGTTCACCCAACTGAGCTAAAACCTTTTTAGGGTTAATAGGTGTGTAGTGTAGGTGTGCAACACGAAGGTTATTTTGCGCGCATACGCATGCACGTGCGGGCGCGTGAAATGACGGATATACTTTATATAGCCATAACTTTAACATTTTTTGATGAAATATTTTAAAACTCATTTAATAAGGATATATTAATAGTGTAGATAATGTGACACTGTCAAATTAGCACGAACTCACGCGCATGCACGTGCGCTTCGCTTTGATTGGCTGCAACAAAAATCTCAATATCTTTTCTGTTTTTTGACGAAATGCTATGAAATTTAAAATATAGGCATACTTTAGGAAGTACTACAATATGATATATAACAATTGTCATGTAAACACGCGCATGCACCTGTGCTGCAATCTGATTGGCTTAAACTTTAAATGGCTATAACTCCCTTGTTTTTCAACGAAACAGTATGGGATTTAGAACATAGACAAACATAATGGACTCCCACAAGGAGGTATGGTCGTGCATGCACGTGTGCTTTGCTCTGATTCGCTGAAACAAAAATCGCAATATCTTTTTTTAATTTTTGATGAAATGCTTTAAAATTTTAAACATAATCATGCATTAGGATGTCCTACAATATGATATATAACAGTTGTCGTGAAAACATGCGCATACACGTGCGCTGCAATCTGATTGGCTTAAACTTAAAATGGCTATAACTTCCTCGTTTTTCAACCAAACAGGATGGGATTTAGAACATAGACAAACATAACAGACTCCTACAAGAAGATACAGTCGACATGCACATGCATGCACGTGTGTGCACGTGAAATGAGTAAAATTACAAATACACTAGACTAAAACGTATTTTTTAATACTTTTGGATAAAACGCTGTAATTTCTAGTATATAAATAGTGTACACAAGATGATATGGTCATTACGTACATGCATTCAAACGCCCATGCGTGCAATGCATAAATTTGAATATACTGAATATACTTCTGGGAAAACCTTGTTATAGTCTAAAAGGCATAGAGTTCGTCTTATTTAATGAAGCTTACAGGGAATAAGGCACCAAAAGGGAGTTGAGGAGCGTTTGGGGAACATCTGTAACGGTTCCCGTTACAATTAGCCCTAGTTTACTACATGTTTTATTGTGCATATTTTGGATCTATTTTGGCGATATCTCGAGCATTACACATAATTTAACAAAAGTGTGGTGCGCCGTCAATTCAGAAAGACGTCATTTTTACACTCCTTTTCACGGGAATCGCATCAGAGAAAAATCATTATATTTCTGTTAGTACTTCAAATATTACGTCAGAAATCTAAATGCATAATGAAAGAACAATTTAAAGATACATTTGAGAAAATTGTCGAAAATATCGCGAATTATAGAAGATTAATGGGTTAAATTTTGGATTCCGCATACTTTTGCTTCAAAATTTTTGTCGTGCTCCGTACCTCTCCATCAGCGATATCAACATACCGATAATTTTAGTAGAATTTTTTTTAATTACAGAAAGTTTGCCCAAAATTTATTTGAATCTTTAAGGTACATATTTCTGTGAAATTTCATAACTATATGACGTCTGTAAGAGTAAATAATAGCACAGTCCGCGTAATTTTTGAACGGTCCTCGTACATTACCGTTATATCTCTTTACTTTATCCACAATTGGAGGGGGGGGGGGGGCAACCAGCCTTTCAATTAACATTTTAATAGTAAAGGTTATGCTTGAGAAAAGCATCCCCCCCGGTTGCTAAGTGCTTGTAAAACGTATATTTATGAGTTGTGAATTATTCTGAATTTATCAAAATGTATTATACAACTACAACACATTGAAAAATAGGTAACGAAGATGTGAAAATATGCGAATTATTCGTGATATGATTTAAAATGAAGGTGTTGGCGTTTGCTACGATAAAAGTCAGACCGCTATTTTTGGAAACGGGGAAAAACGCGCAAGTAATTTATATCTGCTAATTTGCTCTAATATATTGGAAAATACAGAAATGAATTAAAAAGGTTTGTGTTCGGAGACATAAAATTACTTGGATGTTGTCGATATTTTAGCAGGAATACTGATTAACTTAAGGGTCCTCCACACCATGTGACTTGTGACGTATATAGAGAAAAAATGCTTTTGCTTCCGGTTTTGTGTAGTTTGTGTATTGACGAATTACCTGGAACCACCTGTAAGAGAGTCTTTCAAACGCTTTAGAGATAAAGGTTTTGACAAGGGAAAAGTATGCAGTACACTGAGAGCGACACCCTAATCATAAACAAAGAACACATGGCATGGACACGGAGTGACCGATACAAAAAGATGTCCGTATTTTCTATAAAAGAAAGACCTGTCAAACGACTAGATTTATGTTACATAATAATTCGTAAAACAACAGGTGCCGGTATGACGAGAAACTTTATTTTAGGTTATAATAATCAGCAGTTAAAGGTTGATATTGAAACGGAAGTTGATTTTCATCGTTTAGTTTTGGTTAATTTTCAAACACCACAAATTATTAATTTAAGTAGTTTGAAACTGCCAACGTACTGGGACTGCACTGGAATAATACAGATCGTATTAGAGTGCATTTGAGACTTGTCATATGACGAAATAGACAAACCTTGGCTCGTTTTTTCTCAAACATTGTTGTAAGGCCTGAACAAGGCAGATAGTTGCGGCGAGTAGACAGTTAAAAGTTTAGTGATAACCAAAAGTGTAAGACCTGAATAAGGCAGTCACTTGAATATACAGAGAGATGGCAAACCACAGATAAAGGTGGTGGAAGTGCCAAGAGGCAGTACTTTTGAAGTGACAGTACCAAGAAGAAATTTGCTTGCGGGAGATACCCGTTGATCACAGTTAGTGGTTGTCCAATCAAGAAGAAACCGATTATGTAGTATTATTGTTTTATAATTGTATGTATTTGATTTCGTCAACAAAAATCTGAGTTAACAGGTTAACGAACCTGCATGAGTGTAACGCCTGATGATACAAGACATATCACCAAACACCAAGCTCGGCCGCGTTGCACGTTACATTATTTGGTGGCAAGCGTTGGGATTTTGTTGACTATGGATTCACATAAGAAGGTGTCAGAAACTATAGGGCGGATGGAGACGCTCTTAGAAAGGATGAGAACGCCAACCAGCGATGGTGGTCAGACAAATGCAGCAAGCCAAGTGCCTGATAAACAACCGGTCGGTTTGTCAGGAGATGTGTCATTTGACGAGTACGGCGCACGGCCTAGAGTTAGATTTCCAGTTGAAAGCAAAGCAAGCTACACACCACGTGCTAGGGTTGACGACGTTGTGACGGGGCATATATTTGACACGCCAAAACCACAGAGGCAGTCAAGAGGGACAGACAATACCAAGACAGGCCATATAATCAAGCCAGCCACGTCTGACGGAACCAGTTCCTGGCTTGACTACAAATGGCATTTTGAGGATTGCGCTGTTGTAAATGGCTGGACAGAGTATGAAAAAGGTCTATACTTAGCTGTATCTCTGCGTGGCTAAGCGCAGTCAGTGTTAGGTGACTTGCCAAGCGATACTGGTCAGCCGATAAGACACTGGTCAGCTTCCTTGAGGAGAGGTTCTCCCCTCAAAACCAAACAGATCTGTATCGTGTTCAGCTAAAAGAACGAAGACAAAGAGCATCTGAGTCAATACCAGAGTTATTAGACGACTAATCTGGCCTACGCATTAGCACCTGTTGAAGTTCGAGAAACTCTGGCCAAAGATGCATTCATAAATGCCTTGGTAGATTGAGAGATGAGGATCCGCATCAAACAATCTCGTCCTCAAAACCTGAATGAACCCAACCGGCTAGTCGTTGAACTCGATTGATTGACTGTATACTGTTTATCGTCCCTCTCCAGAATATTTCACTGATATGGAGACGTCACCATTGCCGGTGAAGGGCTGCAAATTTAGGTCTATGCTCGGCACTTACGGCCTTTGAGCAGGGAGGGATCTTTATCGTGCCACACCTGCAGTGACACGGGGCCTCGGTTTATACGGTCTCATCCGAAGGACTGCCCCATTTAGTCGCCTTTTGCGACAAGCAAGGGGTACTGAGGACCTACTCTAACCCGGATCCCCACGGGGCCGTTGAACTCGAGGCTTATAATCAAGCAGAAAGCAGAAACCTAGAAGCAAAAGGCCATTTACTAGTATCGGCAACAGAACACTCATCCAGTGAGGTTAGCCAGAACAGTCTTGAGACATCAATGAAGTCCATGGAGGCCGACATGAATACGATAACCGACGAAATTCAAAAGCTGAAGCTGAATCAGTCGTTCAGTAAAACTTATTACAAACAACCAAGAGGCAAACCATTGCGTTGTTATGAATGTAACAAGGAAGGCCACATAAAACGCAATTGCCCCAAGCTTAACAGACGACCCTGTGAAAGTGAACACAAGCATTCAAAAGAGAAAAAGGAATTAGGCAGGCCAGTACAAAGTAAACAGACGACAGGCTGTCCTAATGGATCAATTGGAGTTGGATCTTCCTTAGATGAAGCAGGCATGTACATAGACATCTTTGTGCAAGGTGTACAGGTTAAATTCCTGGTTGACACAGGGGCAACACTGATGTTGTTTTGCTCAGCAATGTACGAGAAAATTGCAGAGAACATCAGGCCAAAGCTGCAGAATGTTAACCATAGTATTTTAGCTGCCAATGGAAGTGAGCTCTCTCTCTGTCAAGGGTAAGACGGACCTAAAACTTAATATTGTGATAGAGCACACTACTGCTGTCATTGCGAAGATTTAGGCAGGTGGAATACTAGGGATTGACTTTCTACTGTCAAATGCATGTACGATGGACATGAGTCAAAAGGTGCTTCACATAAAAGATAAGATAATACCAATGTTTGTAGAGGGCTACATAGGCTGCAACAGAATAACCACAACAAAGATAATCAGCATACTCCTAGGAGTGATATCATCACGCAGGGACAAGTCTTGAAGGACTGCAAACATCTTCCAAGGTATACATGTTTGGTAGAACCACTTGTATCTGGTATGCCAAGAGAAGACTACATAACAGCCAGAACACTGGTCTTACCACAGGAGATGGTACCAGTCCGTTTGCTTAATGTTGGCGAGGAATCCAAAGTCATTTACCCTGGTACGGTTATTGAACAACTAAGTGAAGTTAGAGTTGTTGAGTCAAAAGAGGAGAATACGTCAAGCAAATCTAAGAAGCTAAGACCTCATTTGGTTGATATGCTGAAGAAAATTTCAAACCATTTGACACGAAAGCAGGAAAGAGCTCATAAATTTCTGTATGAATATATTATGGATGGCAATTTGTAACCGAATAACCGATTACTCGGTCGAAACGATGGCAATTGGTTAGAAAATTTGTAAACGTTTAGTCAGAAAAAAATAAAATTAAACATAAGTTTCTCTAAATTTAAAAACTTTATCCAAAACTTTGAAACTTTCAAAAACTTTATCAAAAACTTTGACACTTTGAGAAACTTTATCGAAAATTTTGAAACTTTGAAAAACTTTATCGAAAAATCTAATACTTTGAAAAACTTTATCAAAAACTTTGACACTTTGAAAAACTTTATCGAAAACTTTGAAACTTTGAAAAAATCGAAAACTTTGATACTTAGAAAGTCTTTATCAAAAACTATGACACTTCGAAAAACTTTATCGCAAACTTTGATACTTTGAAAAACTTCATCGAAAACTTTGACACTTCAGAAAACTTTATCGAAAACTTTGAAACTTTGAAAAACTTCATCGAAAACTTTGACACTTCGGAAAACTTTATTGATAACTTTGAAACTTTGAAAAACTTTACCGAAAAATCTAATACTTTGAAAATTTTATCGAAAACTTAGACACTTCGGAAAACTTTATCAAAAACTTTGAAAAACCTTATCGAAAACTTTGACACTTTGAAAAACTTTAATGAAAACTTTGACACTTTGAAAAACTTTGTCGAAAACTTTGACACTTTGATTTACTATAGTTAACTATAGTAAACTATACTTAACTATAGTCAACTATAGTATTTTTTTTGTTAGGGTTACGCTATCTACGCCGTCACACATTTTCCGCGGAAATTTGTCCAAGCCTTCTTAATATAAACGGAAGGCATATAGTGCCAGTCTAAGAAATCCGCATAATTTTCAACCTGCGGATCAAAGGGTAATTGAGATTCCGCGGAATTATGACCCCGTGGAAATAAGTACGTCTACAGTATACCAATCTTTTTTGCAAAATCTGAAAAAATTTGAGGCGTACAGGCATCGTAAAACACAGAATTGATACTGGAAACAGCCATCCTATCAAAATACCCCCAAGAAAAGTACCAGCTCATCTTATAGAGGAGGTTGACCAACAGCTGAATGATATGCTTGAACGAGGTGTGATGTGATCGAACCATCAAACAGCCCATGGTCAGCGCCTATTGTGCTCGCGAAAAAGAAGGACGGTACATTCCGCCTTTGAGTTGATTACCGCAAGTTAAAAAGCTGTACAATCAAGGACGCATACCCCCTTCCTAGAATAGACGAGTCACTGAATCAGTTGAGTGGTAGCTCGTGGTTCTCTACTCTAGATCTCTGCTCGGGATATTGGCAAGTAGAGATGGAGCCAGCCAACAAATGACAGCATTTGCCACACGTTTTGGGTTAATCCAGTTTAAGGTCATACCATCCGGCTTATGTTGTGCTCCTGCAACTTTTGAGCGGTTAATGGAAAGTGTCTTGGCAGGCCTTCATTGGGATATCTGTCTTGTTTACCTGGATGACGTGATAGTGACAGGCAGGACCTTTGAGGAAATATTGGCAAACCTTAGAAAAGTATTTGACAGTCTGCAAAATGCAGGCCTTAAACTAAAAGCAATGAAATACTGCTTGTTTGCCAAGATGGTGACTTACCTTGGTCATGTTGTGTCAGAGGAAGGTGTAGCGAATGACCCAGACAAGATAGCTGCAGTAAAACCGTAGCCAGTACCTACAAATGCCACTGAGGTACGTTCATTTCTTGGACTATGCAGCTATTACAGGAGATTCATCAAAGATTTCTCATGCATTGCAAAATGCCTACACACACTGACAGAGAAAGGTCGCGCATTTGCATGATCTAAAGAATGTCAAGAGGCATTTGACACCCTAAGACATAAGCTTACCAACACTCCAATATTAGGCATCCAGACTTCTCTCATTCCGTACAAGACATATCACCTAACACCAAGCTCGGCCGCGTTGCACGTTACACTACGCTTGTAATGCCCAGTAATATGAGAACATAAGCTGTGTGTGTGTGCGTGGAGGACCCTTAACTTGACCTTAACCTTGCGAAGTTCTTCCTGTTAAAACGAAAGTAGGGTGCAGTGAGTGCACATGCTACTGAGATCTGTCTGAAAACATATCGAGAGTATACATGTATATGTTCGACAAAGCTAGAGGGGTTTGAGTTATCTAAAATGATACTAGATCATCGATTTACTCAGTTTAGAAACAAGGAAATATATTATTATTTGTAGATAAAAACATTCCTAGAAACAAAAATCAATCTTATCTTGAAGAAAACTTCTGTATATTCAGAGACATTAAGTGCTAAATGTCGGATTCTATTCTATGGCGAATGAACAATGAGTGAAGCTCCGCAGCTAAAACAGTTTCTATACAGATGTTTCAGACTTTCCTTTGCGCAGGAATCTCAGGTAACTTTTACAGTCGCCGAAAAAGCATCCTTGGACGAGTCCATTGGTTACTTTGAAAGGTGACGCAGGTTACCCCATCGTTAACAAATTCTACAATGCATGGCCAGAAAATATATGGATGTGCCCCCCCCCCACACAAACTGATGCAAATGATATATA